GGGCAGTTGGGGGGCCTCCTGGGGCCGCTTGGGGGCCTCTTGAGGGCATCCTGAGGGCCTCTTGGGAGCCCGCGGAGCCTCTTGGGAGGCTCTTGGGAGCGGGTGGAGCCTCTTAGGAGCGCTTTTGGGGGCGGATGGGGCCTTTTGGGAGCACATGGGAGCGACTTTGAAGCCTCTTGTGGGGCTCTTATGGACCTCTTGGGAGCTTTGCGGAGGCCTCTTGGAGCTCCTTGGCGGCGTCTTGGAGGCCCCTGGAGCCTCTTGGGAAGCTCGCGGGGGCGAGAGGAGGGGTGATCGATTGCGGCTCCCCCCTCGGAAGCCACGATCCTCGTGAGGGGGGTCGAGAAATTGCCCTCCCCTTGAGCTTTCTCGGGGACCTGACAGGGGATCGCCCGGGGATCCGCCAGGGATCGGCCGGGGTACTTTCGTCCGGGGCCCCCCTGGGGCCGCCACGCGCGCGCGAGTAGAATATTGTTAAACAGTTACCGGAGATCTTAGCACGCCTTCGGCCCGTTGGGCCGGCGAATTTCAACACGTCCCTGGCCCCCGCCCCCTTGGGTCGCGCACATGCCACTGGCCATGATTTGCGTCCCCCCTTGGACGCGCCCCTCTTGGACGCTTCCCAAGATGGCCCCAAGTTGCCTGTGAGCGAAAATTGCCTGCTTCCCAGCTGATGGAAAGGGTACTTCTCTCTGCCGCAGCTGGCCATGGAGGAGGAGGAGGAGGAGGAGGAGGAGGAGGAGGAGGAGGAGGAGGAGGAGGAGGAGGAGGGGGGGGACGAGGCGGTGGAGGAGGCTGCGCGTGCCCGCTGGCGGTCGGCGGCATCTTGTCTGCTTTGCGCCGCGCCACGCAGGGACGGAGAGCAGGACCATACGGTCGGGGCGCTGGAGAAGGAACTCTTTTCGTTGGGGAGGGCTCCGTGTTCCTCAATTGTTTCGCAGCTTGCCTTGGATTTTCCTTTGGTTTTCGATACGAAATCGAAGTTCAACTTACGGAAAAAAAAGGGGCCCCGCTCCTCATTTAGGGTTCCTTAGGTCAAGGCCCCGACTGTACACTTTCTGAGGCCTGCGGGGAGCTCTCGGGCGGTGCGCCGGGGCGGCGCACCCCGGCGCGCTCCGCGCGCGCGCCGTGGGGGAGGAGGGCCCAGCGCCGATCCGAGTGGTCCTCGCGGACATCCGAGCGCTGATGTTTATGAAGATGTGCTGATTCGAGCTTCGCGCGGCCCGCTTAGCTTCGACCGGAAGAGGTGCGCTCTCGACCCGCGGATCGAAAATTATGTTTATGACGATGTGTCTTCTCCTTCTTCTGTTTCTTCTGTTAGCGCGGCCTTCCCCTCGTCCGCCGGACAAGGGCCAGGCCATCGTCTCAGCCTCCGCTTCCTCCTGCTGCTGCTGCTCCTCCGCCACTCCTCTCCCCCGCCGTCCCGTCGTCCTTCGGCCGAGGTGGCGGGGTCACCGCTTCCTCCCCGGCCCTCTCCTCTGCCCCCCACCTCCTCCTGCTCCGACTCTGGTTCCTCGGTCCTCGTCGTCGTCAACACCCCTCTGGTGGACAGGCGCCCCCTCCGCCGATTCTGGGGCGTTGGAAGAGGAGGCTGTGCAGACCGCGCGCGACTGGGCTCATCCATGCCCAGCTCGCGCAGCGGGGTGCGGGTGTCGGCGAATGCGGGCGGGCGGCCTCGTCCCCCTCCTGGTTCTCATTTCCCCGTCTCCTTCTCCTCGCTGGCAGGTTGTGTTCGTCAGCAGCAGGGCGAGCTCCGAGGCGGTGAGCGCGCTGCAGCTTGGAGGCTCGCCGGCGTGGCCGTGGCCGTGGTCCAAGAAGCTCGCGGTGGACACGGCGAAGGCTGGTGCACAGCGCGAGGCTGAGTCCATTGATGCCTACCCCTCGGAGCCCGGGTGCTACATGAGGATGGCCTCCGGTTGTCCTAAGAATCCGATGAAGACTGACGTATGGAGGCACGACTCGTGGGCGGAGCGTAATGGGCTCGACGAAGCGGGTTGCAAGCTGCGCAAGAGGGTCTGGGATAAGTATTGCGCAGCCGAGGACGCAGCGGTCGTCTTCGTTAGCAGTGAAGCCAGCTCGCAGCGATAACGGAATATCCAGTTTGTGGAATTTAAATTCGTGGCCGATGGGCCAGCTGCCGGTTGGCAGGCAGGGCTTGACTGGTGGGGTGACGTGTGTTGTTTTCGGCTTGCTTGGCTGCCCGGCCGGCTGGTTGGCTTGCTGGTTGGCTTGCTTTGCTGGTGGGCGGGCGGGTGGGACGAGCTGGCCGGCCGTGGGGAAGCCAAGAAGTGCCGGTGCCGCTGCTCCCCAGGCCTCTCCCGGGGTGCACCCTGACCAGCAGTTCGAGGCCCACAGAGGGGGAGCACGAGGGAAGGGTAGGGGTGTGGGCCTACCTTGTCCTCCTCCGAGGCTGGCTGGCTGGCTGGCTGGCTATCGGCTTGTCTGTCTGCCTGCCTGCTCCGCTGGGCGGCCAGTCGTGCCGTGCTTTCACGCCCTCTCGCTCTGGAGCGAGAGGACGTCGCGCCCCAGCTAGAAGAAGTGAGCTCGCTTGCGTGCCGCCCTCCTCCTTGCGCTGCTTGCTTTTGCATGCACGGTTGGCTGGTTGATTGGCTGACTGTCTTATTGATTGATCTGTTGCCTGGAATCGAAGAAGGAAAACGCCTCAAACATAAGTTTTTGGCGCTCCGCGCGGATTTCTTGGGTCCGCGCTGGGCCACGCCCTGGCGGCGCCTTTCGGCGCCGCCCACGGCGCGCTCCGCGCGCGCCCAGGGAGGGGGGTCCAGCGCAGATCCAAGACATCCGCGCGGACCGTCCAAAGTTTATGTCTGTGCAGTTGTTCTTCTTCTATGGAAGCTGGCCTGGCGTGATCTACGCGTTCGTCCCCCCGCTTCAAGAGAGCCCAGGCTTGCAGACTTCCACCCCGCCCCCTTTGGAAATCTCGGGGGCCCCCAGAGGGTGCGGTGACCACACCGTGCGGTGAGCCAGTGGGGATTCGGGGTCACCGCACGGTTTCGGGACTCGGGTCGTTCTCCGAGGACGTCTCGGGCGACAGGGGCCTCCGGGGTCCCAAGACCGTGCGGTGACGGACCGCGCGGTGAGGTTTTGGGGGATTTCAAGGTCACCGCACCGTGCGTCACTGCACCGTTTCTGGACTCCAAAAAATCGGCCCGTCCCCATCTGACCATCAAGGCTTTTTCCCCGCGTCTTTCCAGCGGCCTGCGAGCGGGGGCGGGGCGTGGTTCCCGTCTTGGTCGGCTGTGGGGCGGTTTGGTTCCCCCCGCTTTCGAAGGACAGCGCTCCAGTTCGAGAAGGTGGAGGGTGAATGGAGGGAGGAGACGGAAGGGCTGAGGAGGAGGTGGATTGGGAGGGGGAGGAGGATGAGTAATTAGGAGGAGGAGGAGGCGGTGGAGGTGGAATGAGAGGATGATGATGCGGAGGAGCAGGAGCAGGAGAGCCGATGATGGTTGCAATGGTGCTGAAGGCGACGATGACGACGATCATGACGACGACGATGATGCTGATGATGCTGATGGTGACGATGATGGTGGTGATGCTGATGATGGTGATAAGGATGATGATTCTGATGCTGCTGATTATGACGACGAACGCTGTGATGATGCTGATGATGCTGATGATGATGATGATGCTGATAATAATGATGCCGATTGTGCTGATGATGGAGAATATGATGCTGATGATGATGATGATGATGATGCTGATGCTGATGATGATGATGATGATGATGATGATGCTGATGGTGATGGTGATGGTGATGGTGATGATGATGCTGATGCTGATGCTGATGCTGATACTGTAGCTGATGATGGTGATGATGCTGATGCTGATGCTGCTGCTGATGATGCTGATGATGCTGGCGATGATTATGCTGCTGCTGATGATGATGTCGATGGATGTGACGATGACGATGGCGATCCTGATGGTGCTGATGATGATGCTGATACTGATGATGATGATGATGATGATGATGATGATGATGATGATGATGCTGCTGCTGATGATGATGATGATGATGAAGATGGTGATGATGCTGATGATGCTGCTGGTGCTGATGCTGATTATGGTGATGATGATGGTGGTGATGATGATGAGGAGGAGGCATAGGAGGGGGAGTGCACGAGGATGAAGATGATGGACAGGGGGATGTGGAGGAAGAGTGCTCCACCTCTGCAGTCTCCTCATCTTTCTCAATTGCGTATGTTGCATCCAGTTTATGGGTTCGCCCCATGCCGTCGACCTGCTCGTCCTCCACACTGGCGTGAGCGGCACTGCGATGCATTGGATCGCGCGTGCTGACAAGAAAATACTCAGCTGATCGCTGGTCTGGGCGGTGTATGAGTGGATGGGGGCTGGGGGATGGGTGGACTGGTGGTGGGTGGAACGGATCCCCAAGGGCTTGACGACGTGTGGGGATCAAGTCTGATAAATGAAGGCAACTGTCAATAATTCGAGGTTGATCCAGGTAAATTAAGGGAAATCCAAAAGATCTCCCAGGACATTTGGAGCCAATCGGGGCAGCTCCAGCGCGAGTCGAGGGACGGCACACGTCGCGAAGCCTTTAACGAGGGGGGTGGGTGGCTTGATGGTGGGGAAGGGAGGTGATGACGAGGCAGAGCACGAGCAGGAGCAGGAGCGGTAGGAGCAGGAGGATGTACGCGAGGCGGAGAAGGACGAGGAGGATATCTGCCAGGAAGCGCGTGCACGCCCCGCCCCCCCACCCACCAGGATTTCGGAGGGCGGGGTGCTCAAGTCCGCGCTCGCGGCGCCCAGGGCCCAGCCCTCCCAGCACCTGCCTCGCATGCGCCCGAGGGGGGGCACCTCTCCTCCGCCTGTGCCCCCACGCGGCCCCTGGCACGGGGGGAGGCGCCATGCGCCGCATCGGCGGGGGCCCTCGATCCGCGACTGGCTGGCGGGGGCCTCGCTCCGCAGCCGGGGGGGGCGCCTCGCCGCGCGAGGCGGCACTGCGCAGCGGCAGTCGTCGCGCGCCGCGGTTCTCGGGAGGCCTCGCTCCGCGACGGTGGTGGCTCCTCGCTGCGCGACGGGGCACCGCGCACGCGCGCCGGAGCTGTGTGCGCAGCTGCGTCACATCGGCGCGGGCCTAGCTCCACGGCCAGCGGGGGTCGCGCCCCGCGGCCGCGGAGAGGCACCTCGCCGCGCGACGGTGCGCGTGCGCGCCGGCGGGAGTCCTGCCCGGGGGGGGCGTCGTCGCACGGGGGGTGGGGGGGCCTCGCTCCGCGATGGATGGCGCGTCGAGGCGCTGGAAGGCGGCGGCTGCCGCGAACTTCGCACGGTGACTTCCTAAAGGGCCACTGAAGACTTCCGCGTGGCCCCCGGGTACATCTTCAGAGCCCCGACAGACGACTCCCGAGGAAGCCCCTTGGAATCTAGGGGAAGGCCCTAGGATTCCACAGGCACCTCCCAGAATTCTCTCGGGCAGTCCCCAGCGTTCCCGAGGACATCTTTGGGTGGCTCAGGGGATCCGTAGGAATCCGTGGGGAGTCCTTCGGATTCCTGGGAACTCTTGGGGGAGTCCTCGGGAAGCCGCAACGTTTTCCCTTAGATGTCCGAGGAAGCCCACAGGATTCCCGCTGGCAGTGTCATGCAGTCACGCGGGCCGGCGAGGAAATCGTCCAGCAATTCGCAGGAGCCACGGGGCTGTCAGAGGAAGGCCCCAGAAGCAGAAATCCAAGTTTTGGGCCCTGCCCCGCCAGGGCACGGGAAGGGCCCGCCGCCTGGCGGTTTCGCCACGGAGGCGCTGGACCTCGTGTGACGTTGTGTTTGTTGCGGTGGCTTCGCTCGCAGGCTTTTCTCCTGGCGACGCCTAGGCGCAGAGTCAGTCTTACCTGTGTTGCGCGCAAGGCGGAGGACACCTCATCGCGCCGTCTTTGCCTCGCCAGGCGGGCGAGCTCGTCCAGTCGTTCGTCGGGCGTCCCGCTGGACGTTCCGACCAGCGGCCACTCGCGCCTGACGTTCGTCGGGCAGCGCTCTCGCTCCGAATGCAGTGGAGCAGGAAGAGGAGGACGAGGAGGAGAAGGAGGAGGATGAGGAGGAGAGAGGAGTACGAGGAGGAGGAGGATGACGAGGGGAGAGGAGTACGAGGAGGAGGACGAGGAGGCGGAGGAAAAGGCATATGAAGAGGATGAATAGGACAGATCATAGGCAGGGGTGGGGTGGGATGGGGAGGGATGATATCGTCACGATGCCGTCCAGAGTGTTCCCTGCCCCGCTTGTTTCATCTGTTTTACGCTCGTCTGTTCAGACCAGTGCGGCCGCATGTGCCCAATATCAAAGTGGTGGAGTCTACGACCTCGCGCTACATCACCTCTTACCTCCGTACGTTTCTCAGGCCACTACAAATGGAGCGCTTTGGCTACAAGCTATTGGAACTGAACAGTCGAATGGTTATCAGTCGTTTGTTTCCTTCGGTACAATGGCATAAGGGTTGGGCAGCTGCTGCTTCCATGGGCCGACTAGTACTATCATCCATCAGTGAAGAAGCGCGTGGCCGCTTCATCGATGAGGGAAAGGAGAACGCTCGTTTGAAATCGTGGCTCCGAGTGCTAAGCCCGAGCGCTTCGATACGGCCTCACCACCGCCAGCCACGCCAGCCAGCGCAAGCGCGAGTGGAATGTCAGTACGATCCGTGGGCGCCCGGGCCCAGGAAACCGAGATCGCCAGGGAGAAAATCTTCGAGGGCCTCGCATGATGGCAGTCGCACCGAGTTTTGCAATCATGATCTCGCTCCAGAGACAAAGTTTCCACGATGCGGCGGGGAGCAATAATCTCGCAGGGGCAGTACACTTGAGAGGAGCCGAGTTCCAGTAATGACAGGGAAGGGTCGGACAGTGCCAGAACAAGGGTGGCCTTGTCTTGTCTCAGTGCAGAGCTCCAGGTCGTTACCGTATACTTGAACACTTCCTTCCGTAATTCCGCCACTCCTCTCGGATTCGAGCTCTTCCTCCTTGTCGGTGGTTTGGTGCTTTGGGGGTCATCGCTCTCCTCCTCCTTCTCCTGCCGCTCGTGCTCATCGTCTTGCCTGCTCGCCGCTCGTTTCGGGTCTCTCGCTCGGACCGGCCGCCACACAGAACGTGTTTTTGTGGCGCGGGGTAGCGCAGAACGTGATGACGAAGAGGGAAATGCCGACGCTGACTAGTATTGTGATGGTGACGATGATGCTAATGCTGATGCTGCTGCTGATGATGATGCTGATGCTGATGCTGCTGCTGAAGATGATGCTGCTGCTGATGATTCAAATGATGATGATGATGATGAGGAGGAGGAGGAGGAGGATGAGGATGCTGATGATGATGCTGCTGATGATAATGATGGTGATGATGCTGATCATGATGATGATGCTGCTGATGTTGATTATGATGATGCTGATGTCGATGATTATCATGATGATGGTGATGATGCTGCTGATGCTGGTGCTGATGATGCTGATGATGATGGTGATGCTACTGCTGATGATTATGGTGGTGGTGGTGCTGGTGGTGATGATGCTGGCCGTGATGTGGAGCAAGAGCGTGGCGCAGGCGCCTATGACGTCCATGACGTCGAGATGGCCGTCATGAGATGATTGTTGACCGTTCGCGTATCCCCGCCAGCCCGTCCAGGCACGATCGCAGGGTGAGTTGCCTTGATAAGGGCAGCGTAGAAGCATGCAGTGAGACAACCGCCTTGGATGCTTTTCGGTGGTGCGGCGAGGGCGAGAACATTGGTTGTATATGAGCCGTTGGAAGGTAGGTTGAACAGGTCGACCTGGCGCCGTTTTGTCTCTGTGGGGGTCTTCTTAGGGGTCCTCTTTGACAGCGATTGACCTGTCATGGTTATGTCATCGGGCAAGGGTTCCTGCACCACCGTACTGCCATTTTGCTGAACGGGGTTAGAACAACCATCAGGTCATATAACCCCGAATGAGAGATGAGGAATTAGAGGATGATGATGATGATGCTGATGACGATGATGATGATGCTGATGATGATGATGACGATGATGATGGTGATGGTGATGATGATGATGATGTTGATGCTGATGATGATGCTGATGATGATGATGGTGATGACGATGATGATGATGATGCTGCTGATGCTGATGCTGATGCTGATGATGATGATGATGATGATGATGATGCTGATGCTGCTGCTGATGATGATGATGCTGATGATGATGCTGCTGCTGATGATGATGATGATGATGCTGATGCTGATGATGATGATGATGATGATGATGATGATGATGATGATGATGCTGATGACGATGATGATGATGCTGCTGTTGATGATGATGATGCTGATGATGATGCTGCTGCTGATAATGATGATGATGATGATGATGATGATGATGATGATGATGATGATGATGATGGTGATGGTGATGATGCTTATGCTGATGATGCTGATGATGATGATTAGGAGGAGGAGGAGGAGGAGGAGGAGGAGGAGGAGGAGGAGGAGGAGGAGGGGGGGGAGGGGGATATGGGTTTGCACGCGGCCCTGGATGTGTTACTGCGTTGCCGATGCTGTTTCCAAGCGGAGTTTTGAACAGCAGAGGACCGTATGCCCCGAACAGAGGAGGAGGAGGATGAGGAGGAGGAGGAAAGAGGGAGGAGGAGGAGGAGGGGGAGAAGTGAGCAGGAGCAGGAGCAGGAGCAGGAGCAGGAGCAGGAGGAGAAAGACGAGGAGGAGGAGGAGGAGGAGCAGGAGGATGAGGAGCCACGGGAGGAAGATGTGGAGGCGGAGGAGCGAGAGGAGAAGAAAGAGGAGGAGGAGGAGGAGGAGGAGGAGGAGGAGGAGGAGGAGGAGGAGGATGAGGATGCGGTGGAGGAGGAGGAGGAGGAGGAGGAGGAGGAGGAGGAGGAGGAGGAGGAGGAGGAGGAGAGGTCTTGGTGGTCCTTGGGGCTTCTTGGAGCGTTTTTAATGCCTCGGGGGGGGGCTCTTGGAGCCTCTTTGGTCTCACGTGGGGGCCTTTTGAGGGCCTCCTTGGTGACGCTGTACGCCTCCCTGGTGGTGCTGGCCGCCCATTCCATCTTGAGCGCCTCTCAGGGTCCGCTGGGGCGGTCGGAGGCGTCTCTTCGAGCGTTCGGGGCTTTCTTGGAACCTTTTGAGGACCCCTCGGGGGGGTCGCTCAGGGCCATATTGGATTCCCTTGGGACGGTCTGAGACGTCTCTTGGGGTCGTCGGGACCCAGCAACTCAACGGAAGGGGGGGGATCAGAAGGTTCCCTCGCCCCCTCGAGTGCCCCAACAATGCCTCTCGGGGCCATCTTGGGCCGCTCTTGGAAGTGTCGCGGGCGCTCCTGGAGTCGTTTGGGGCCCGTCTTGGGACTCTATAGGGCCCTCTT